TTTCTGAGCAGAAACATAACACAACCTCCTCCACTGTCACTATGTTTGTATTGCTTTACAGCTGTACAAAACGCAGGATTTGAGTGGACAGGAAAGTATAAAGAATATAAAGAATAAAAAGACTGAGATAAAAATGGCTGCCAACAACAAACTGCAATTGAACAGTATGTGTGTAACCCAGAAGAAGAAAAAAGTTCAGAAGGAAGAGCCCAGAATGAACCTGTTTGCCTGTGGTTGCTAGTTAAGTTTCTTGCAACAACATTGCTTTCATGTAAATATGTCGACTAACAAAGTCGTACGCCCTCACTGGCTGTCTCCCCCGTGTTCTTACAGATGGCAGACTGCTTCGGCTGTAGCACCTCAAATGTTTACAGAATAACTGTTGTTCATTTAGCTCTGTGCTAAATGAGCAGCTGTGATGAGCTTTTGGTTTATAAATAACCGTCTGGCAGTTCAGCAAAGGAAATGGCACATCATCACACAGGTATGAGTGACGGTATCCACCCCCTAGTACTACTCCTACTCTCTGCACAAAGAAAGTGTAACTTGTGTGGCTCATTGTGAGATAAATTTCCAGATTCTGACAGATTATAAAACGCATACTTAGCTGCACACATTAGCACGTAACGAATAGGCAGACGCTCCAGAGCCACATGAATGTGTTCCATAGCTGACAGAGTCAAATTTGCGTCATATGTTTTGTTCAAGGATTCTTGTCAGACACAAAAGGTTCTCAGTATTCGCAGATTTTAATGTTTACAACAAGAGTATAGGAATATTTAGCTTTATTTCATTTCATTATTATTGATGATTCTATAGGGCTGCAAAAAAAAAAAAATGTGAAGAATACGTTTTTCTGTGGGATACAGATTTTCTGGTTACACATTAGATAGTTTTGCAAACCGAGAACATTTTTGTTCTTAAAGTGAACTTATATGAGTGGTTGATTTAATCAGTGTGTTCCAGCATCAGCGGCTGATGTTAGTTGAGGACGGCGGTGTCTGCAGTGGCACGGCTGCAGTGGAGAGCTTTTATTTTCTCCGTGTGTGGTTCTCATATCTTGCATTACCCACTGCATTAGTGACCCTTTGCCTCACTCTGCCTGCTTTTAATGAAAGCACACAGGCTTCCTCTACACTCCTCTTTGCTGTCAAAAATTTCAAGCCACCATGGTTACAGACAGCCATCACTGTTGGCTTGTTGACTTTTTATTTATTTTTTAAATAGGACTGTGAATATTAATGACGGACGCAGTCTTTGTATCAGCCTTTAGGAGTGAGACGTGAAGCCACATTTACACACATTCATTTAGTGTGTAATTTATTCAAACCGGTAAACTTGTATCAATGTTGTTGTTTTTTAACATGTTACATTTTATGGCTTAACATTTTGCTTTGAGACGTTGGGTTAATCAATAATTAAAATGTGTTTTGGCCCTAGAAAAAAGCACAACATGTTACAGTCTCCAATGGCTGCAAACGCTCAATAACTGACTTTAATTGCTACATGGATTTCAGGAAACAGCGCTGCAGCTTCCAGCCCTTTAAGACAGGAATTTTATCTTAAGATCCATCTCTGATAACATGGATACTGCAAGTCAACTAATTTCTAAGCTTCTCTCTCCTCAGAGCATCGATCCAAGCACAACATCCTTGGTGCTTTCCTTGTTCACCGGTGTGCCACAGTGCAGCCTCTTCACCACCGACCCATTGTGCAGGTGCACTGGCTCCACACTAACATTACTAATCAACCACCCACACAATACATTTATAAATACAGACGATCAAACTCCCTCCTCAGGGTCTCACCAGGGTATTTTTCATCTGTGCTGTCAAGCAGTCAGACTCCATCAGATGGCAACCCAGTCACTGAGCAGGTTTTTCAAAGCCAGGTGTAAACGGGGTGTTAGCGAGACCTGCAGCAGCGCTGGTTTATCATCCCACAGTTGGGTTCCTTTGAGCTCATTATCTCATGGAGTGTTGCAGTGCTATGACTTTCAAGAAATTTGATTCATAGAAAAAAGAAATAGCTCCATTCTTTTCAAGCACCCTGCGGGAGTTTCATATTAAAATGAAAATGTCAGAAAGAAACCACACGTTTGACTGTTGGCTCCAGTATCACTTCCAAAAATGTATAATAATATTTTTGGGGTGCTTGAGGAAATGTAGGGACAACCGTTTGTTTTCCCGCTGCTGCACAGACAGACACTTTCTTAGAGATTTTAGATATGAAAGAGGGAAGGACAATTTTAGTACATAAACTGGAACCATTGTTTGAACTGCTTACTTTAGAAATACACGAGATCCTTGTGTTAAGGAACTAAGTCACAAACAGCAAAAGTAACGCAGTTGCTAACAGACAACAGTGTGTATGTGTGTTTTTTCTCAGTGTTCGCATGCACGTGGGTGTGTTTTCTGTTGGGGTTGGCTGCAACTCAGCTCTCAGTGAGCTACGAGTAATATTGGATCAAGCAAATTGTTGGCTAAACACTTGTGGCTAAAGGCCTATCATGCTAGGTTAAGCACATCTTTTTCTTTATTAATCTCACCTTCACATTTAGTGTCAGTGAAGTTTTCAATTATTCCTATTCTGCACGTTTTGAGCATCTGGAGGAAACCAGAGTACATGAAGAAAACCCAAACACGGGGAAGCATCATACTCCAGGCAGTAGATTAAACCGTTACACCACTGTCATACTCCATACGGAAAGGCAGTAGATTAAACCGTTACACCACTGCTTTACTTGCTGTACGGTAAGACCAAAAACTTCTTCTTACTAAAATGACCAGAAAGTGATGTTTTTAAAAAAATAACACTTAAGAACATTGAGATCATCCTAACTTCCCCCCATATAGCAGCACTTGATAGAAGATTGACTGAGTGAAAAGTTATATAGATCTGATCCCTGTGTTCTGGTGAATGACTACCCCCCATATAGCAGCACTTGATAAACGGTTGACTGAGTGAAAAGTTATATAAGATCTGATCCCTGTGTTCTGGTGAATGTGAAACAGGGCCTAAAAAGTCAAACATCCATGTTTCCATATTTATTTATTTTTTTTACCACAATGCTCTCGTGACTTCATCCTTATTACATGTTGGCCTAATTGAAGGTGCTGAAAGTACAAGGTCCCAGTAGAGACTTGTGTTTATCTGTGCATCCAATAGCCTGCCTGACACACAAACAGGGAATAGCCATGACCTGCTTATTGTTGGTGACACCACACAAATATGGAGCAGCAGTTAATAACAGCGAGGACCCCTGGAGAGCCTTTGTTAGCATGATGGTATTAAGAGGAAAGTGGCTGTTATTGAACTCGCACCAAAGGGTCCTGGTTCTACTTGGAGATGTGAACATAATGAACCACACCATAAAACCTACACCTCTCTGTTTGTGCAGGATGTTTACTGTAAAGTGCACACTAAAAAAACTCCCTGCATCAAAAAAGAATTATGGGTATTCTGAGGGGACTGATGGACTTGAAAAGGAGATATACACATATCGTGCTATGTGTGTGTGTGTGTGTGTTTTGTTTGTGTGTTCCATCATGCCTGGAGCATGCTATATCTTGCCAATACTGATCTGTCACTCTGCTTTTCCACCTTTTTGATCCTGGGTGAAATATCTGAACAGCTATTTGATGAATTGCCAACACATTTTGGTAGAGAGGCTCGCAGTCACCAGATGATGAATCCCGCTGACACTGATGATCTCAAGACCTTTCAAGTGGCACCCTTATGAATCTGACAATCTGACAGTTTTTATCTCTTTTTTTGGTGGGGGGTTGAGCAGATTTGTTACACACCATCATGATGTCAGAGGTTTCTCACAGGGATGTTTATGATCCACAGGCTTTTCATCTTGTGCCACCGGTACGTCAATATTTTTAATAATTGTGTAAAATGCGAGGTTCAGGGTGCAGTAAAAAATAAAAAATCACTGGCGTCTAACCTCATGCAGCTTGTCGCAATATAACCCTGTGTATGTCAACACATGTATAAGGTTTAATTTCAGTGTCCACTGGGGTACAGTCAAAAAGTTACGTTGTGTAGTTTGGCATGTGGAATATTGACTTATACTGTTATATACTGTAAGATCTACTTTGCTCAACAGTCATTTGTTGCCATTGTTTGAACATCTACTTGAAAATATACTAGACTCTGGCTACAGACCTAGAATACAGCAGGCGAGTGAAGGACAAACTGTTGTGAAGACTGAGGCCTGACATTGTCCTGCTAAAAAACCTTGCTCTTCCTGCATTATCTTAATATAAATATATGTCTGTCTAAAATTGCAGTACCAGCATCTGCACTAAAAGGTACCTTCAAATTTACAGTATAGATTCAGAATCCCAATGACATAATGCAGCCACCTTGCAGGTGCTTGTGTCGGCAGGGACAGAATTGCCCTTTACAATTCCTATTTTACATGCACAGAGTGCAGCTCATGAAAACAATAGTAGCGCGCATCGATGTATCATATTGTTTTACAATCTCTTTTTGACATGCTGGTAATACTTTTGTCTCAGATAAAGATACAAAACCACCGTTTCAGAAAAAAAGAGTTGTTTGAACAATGTTTATAAGCAGTGGCTAAAGAAATGGCCATTTTATCACTTGGAAAATGTACTGTAAACATTGTTCTGTATTGTAAAAAATACACAAATGCATCAATTAAAAATAATTAACAGTTGACACACAACTGTTAATTCTATGCCCTGTCTATGCCCTGTTTTAAATTATTATCTGTTTTATTATTTGATGTAAAGTGTCCTTGAGTGTCCTGAAAGGCGCTTTTTAAATAAAATTTATTATTATTATTATTAAACAGAATTACCAAATGTAGAAAACTAAGTAGCACCAAATCTAAGGTACCAGGTTCTGTTCTGGTGTATTTAATTCACACAGCTTTTTTGTTTTTGGATAAGCAAAGCAGTCATTGCTGTCTAGGTCAACTAGAATTTGTGTCATTTATCACACAATCCGATAGTGACCACCTCTACAAGGCAGAGAGCATCAAAATCTAATTATATCACATAATCCTATTCTCTGTTGTCCATCTGTACACCTAGCTTGTTCCAAACTGCCATCAACCATGGCTGCATTCACAGTCAGAGCTTAAATGCATTATGTTGTACAGTTTTAGTGTGTAAATGTGCATCTATATTGCTTTGAGCAAAGATAAAGTCAATGTAAGAAGATTAACATGAAGGTGGCTGAGCATAATGATTAAAATATTATTCAGAGTTGTCCAGCAGAGTGGTGAACAGAGAGGGGGAAGAATCAGTTATTAACCTAACACATTACCGGTCACTAGGTGGGTGACCATCTGCCCCAACTGTGTGTTTGAAAGAGTAGGGGGCCAAGAAGATTCAAAAACCACGGTACAGTAACAGCTATATAATAACAACAACAACAACTATTATTATTATTATCGTAACAATTGGTGACGCAAAGTAAATATCGATGAATGCAGTTTATTGGCAAAACGAAGCAAATGACTCAAAGCTCCGTGTAAACCGAGTGGGTAAGATAATCTTACTCAATACTATATATGTACAATACTTACAATACATACGACTTACTACGATATTAGATATCTGTCAACACAGTGTGGGTATTTAATGTAGTTTACCGCCTCCTGGAGCAGTTACCAATTGTCCTAGGCTAATAATAGTTAATTTTCATTTTTATAGCAATGTGACGTGAAGAACCCGAATGCACCTGCGTACGGCAAGTCAACGACAAGGTGGAGAAGATGTCGATGCAGCAAAAAAGGTAGTTGTGAGCTACGTTTTATTAACTATACGAAGATACAATGTGTGCTAAAGAGTGGTTTGAGCAAACAAAAAACAAACTATTACGAAACAAGAGTCTTTCACAAGCAAAGCTGAGTTGTTAAATATGCTGTTTCGTTCATATAAAAGTAGGTGAACTTAACGGTCGGGATAAGAGAGTTTTTGACGTGTGGTATTTTTCTTAACGTGTGGGACGTTCAAGGAAAAGCCAACCTGTCGGTTTTATAACGTTGAAGCTAACCTGTTAGCAAGTCCATATAGCATCGTACTTTCGTCACTTTTTTTCTCGTTGTGTTTACAAAGTCTTTGAAGACATGCTTTGAATTGTTACGGTAGTATTTAACGCAGAGACACAAAACATTAGAAGAGCGAGTTTGATCTATTTGTTAAATTGTATTATTTGTTTGACAAAGCTCGGAAATGCAGATTTTACTCTTATGTGTGATTGGATTGTAATCTACTTAATCTGTGTAATTTGTATAGAATTTAAAATAGTGTTTGGTTGATTATTTGCAATTTTGCTAAAGTTGCTCTGGATTTTGTTTTCATGAGACTGAATTAGACTGAATCAGTTTGTCACACACGTCTGGTCTTAGTAAACAAACACCTCACAGTAAACGTTGTGAGTGCATAGCATGAGGACAATTACAGGTGTAAATGCTTATTTGTACAGAGAGGGACAGTTGGAAAGTTGAGCTCATTGAATTGTGGGGTAATGCTGTATATGAAGAAACGGAACCTCAGAAGAGACCGTAGTACCAACCATACACAGTACTGTGAGGCTATTGTCTTTATAAATGCAGCAGTTCAATATCAAGACAAAAGTAAAAGACGTAAATGTAGTGCTGTTTATATGACGTAAAAAGTGTGTACCATTTCAGTGTATCGTTATTTGTTTTCCGTGTATCCTCCTCTCTGCTTTGCATCATCTGTTCCAATCTTCCTTCACTTTTTTATCCTTTTTTCCTGGTTCACACATTTGCAAAGACACTCATAGCGCTTATAAAAATAGCAGTCTTGTCAAGATTTCTGTGAATGCAAGTGACATTGCTGCAACAAAGCTTTTATTTTGAGGTGTTATTTTCACATTGCTTTTTCTTTAACAGCTGTAGGATATGTTTTTGCATTCAGAGAGATTCAACCAAAAGTTGTAAAAATGTATGTCCCATAGAATTCAGTAACACAAACTCACGCCTATTTAATTACCAGTGTCTTTTAACAGTACTGTATTACTGCTCATAGTAAATAGAACAGTGCTGTCATTTCCTTATGCAAATGCAAATGTTTACGTCTCCCTGTTTAATGTGTTTACAAGATGCAGGGTGCATTCACTACCCGAATTGTTCTGCCTTGTTTTTCCTTTTACTGTTTTCATGGATGGATTTGAGGCCTGAAGGTGAGGCTGAGGATAAAGTAGCTGATCTGCTGTCCAAGTCACACATTTAGTCACAAGATTTGAGTCATGACCAAAAGGGTCAACCTGCAGATATAAGCGGCAGAAATTAGTTTTCTTTGCAGGAAAAGGCTCAGTAACTGAGATTCTCTGATAGCCTTTCAAAGCTCCTGAACTACTGTTGCAGCCATTTCTCCTTTATGTTCAATCAGGGCTAAGGTGTTGAGGGCATCTGATTAAGATGTCACCCTGAAGCTTTACTGTACTGATATTCCTAGCACGTCAGACTGGGACAAAGCCCAGAAGACTTGGCAGGGATTATGTATTCCGAGTGGTCTGTGAAAGCCTCAGGATCCCCTAAGAAGAGGCTCGGAGCCCATGACTTGGGAACAGGCTGGCTTAGCTGCTTATATTAGTTGGCTACCATTGGAACTGAAGCTCTGATAAGGGGATGAAGGGATAGAGAGATGTTTTTTCATAGTGGTTTAAATGTTACTAATGAATTTTTCCACCCGGGGCATAAAGTTGAACATTTATCATAAACCCCAAATCTTACCAAGACGAATAGGGATGCAAAATTTCCAGAGGGATAATGTAGTTTATTTTAATTTGGCTTTTAAATCCATAAACAAAAAGCTTGGCCTTAAGGGCGACTGTTGGCCTTTACTTTTCCATATTTTTCTGGTAAGACTGCAGTCATGCTGATAAAGGCCAACATTTGATAGAGAACTTGACAGTATCATTGTGTGATAAATATCTTCTGCAGTGGTCACATTACATCAGAATAAATTATGAATTTGAGAGCTACACTGATCATTTTAGAACTTGGTAACAATATATGTCTTTGACAATATCCATTTGGAAACAATCTTATAACAAATGATTGGTAATTTAGTCTAGTTAGAGTTCTGGGTGCTCATTGTACGGCCAGTGTCAGCCTAAGAGCGATGACAAGTAAACAAAGAGGTGGGCAATTAAGGAAAATAGCAGTGATTGCATTTTGAGTAGAGAAGCTGCAAAGTGCAGAATGTAGCTGTGTGACCTCTGCATGATTGAAGTCACAATGATGAATCACTGTCAACACAAGATATAACATAACAAAACAAGAATGTACCAGTGGCCCCCAACCTTCAGGTCAAGGTCAGCTGGTATCAGCCGTTACTGTGGACCAGTAGCACACGCCATTGTTGAAGGATCATTTAATGTAGTTAGTATTAGAGTCTGAATGACCTGTTGTTTTGAAACATTGCCAGATTATCTTTTAAAGAAAAGTTTAATCTTGATACTCTTTGATACTCAAATTACTTAAGACTGAGCCACTCTGAGGTTGTCTCTGTGATGTCTTTTGTTTATTTTGAAATTGGCCCACATTAGCGCTTTATGTTGGTAGAAACATTTTGACACATTTGCCTACATAGATGTGATTACAGCTCTTGTATCCAAGAGAGGGAATTATATTTTAATGTTTTTTTCTCTCTTTTGACAGTGGCCTTCATTACCTCCTTAGTTTAACAGCCTGACAGAGAATTGTGGGAAAAAAACTCATCCAGGAGAAAAGGTTAACAGGAGGTAGACTGAGCTGGGAGAAAAGGACAACTTCTATTTATTGTGTGTTTTTAAGGCAGGGATCTGCACAAGTGAATCTCTGTGCGATTCTCCTTCTGTCATTTCCTATCAAAAGCTATTCATGGTGATCTCCCTTTGTGAATATAGCAGCAAGTCTGCTCTGATTTTTCAGGTTCCACCTGCCTTTGCACATAGTGTATAACATGGCCCATTTCACAAGGATGACTGCGAGGTTACATTTGACTGCAAAAAAGAAGAAAGAATGTCAAAGGTGTTTTTTCTGTTGTGCATATTTTATACGCTGCTGTAGATCTTTTATATGTAGGTCCTTCACAGGAACTGTAGGAAGTGACACAGCTTATTTGACTTTGAACATAAACAGTGCACTATTTGGTATGTTTTATTTATATTCAGACAGAGGAGAAAGTCCTTGATAGAAGAGGAATATCATATTAATTACTATCCCAACAGTAAGCTGAACTATGCCATGGAGATGATGTGAAATGCAGATTCATGCTGTGTATACTGTTGACAGTCTATGCATTTTATATCCTCTCACTAAGAAACTACGAATATCTTTTTATATATTGTGTCCAAAACCTGTCATCCTGAGCCCCAAGTGTTATATAAGCTATTTTAAACCTCTAATGTTCTTCTGTTTACATTTTATTGCCTCCATTTATTGGGATAGTTTTGTGCATTTTTTTATTTTTATTTTGACGTGCCATCAGAACGTTTCACATAAAATATTTTCAGGAGGACATTATGCTGTTTTTTAAAATTCCCATGGTAATATATAAAATTCTATTTTGACATGAATCCAACACTAATGCTGTAAAAAGATGGTAGCTTCTTTCTCGTTGCTCTCTTACTTGGCCCAAAGGCATTCATTGGTTTTCCTATTTAAACTCCCCGTGGACCCACTCAGCTCCGTAATGTTGCATATTTCTGTATTAGGCAGAATTTAAACATAAAGTTGTGGTTGTACTGTATGCTAAGAATTGTAAAACTTTCTGTTTGATAGGTGTGTTCTGATTCCAGTACTTTTTTTTTTACAATTACACTATTTAATCTTGGAAGTACTGTTGATCCTTATCTTAAACTAATGTATGTTTGAAATTTAAAACAATTTAACACCCATCAATCTCAGTGAATGTTGTGTTTAGAGTTTAGAGTTTGTAGCTTTCTGTTAGACAGTGAATAAAAACTACCCCTCCCACCCAAATTTAGAGTTTGTAGCTTTCTGTTAGGCAGTGAATAAAAACTACCCCTCCCACCCCCCTGCTGCACACATTTACCCCCAATATCATGAGCAGCCAAGGGCTGTAAAGCTACCAGGAATTCAATACAATGAAGCAAGTGTTCCTTGTGTGGTATTATGGTAGTTTTATGTGGAATTTTGGTATACCTTACTCTTTACCAAATTTAATGTATCTTTTACTGCTTACTGGATATTCTGGACTTGCAGGTGAAGTCACATCTGTTAAAAATTTAAGGATTTAAGGAAATTTAAGGAATGGGAAAAAGCCTTGCACCGCAGGTGAAGTCACATCTGTTGAAAATTTAAGTATTTAAGGAAATTTAAGGAATGGGAAAAAACACGTATGAGTCGTGCTGGTCTTTAGTTAACTTTGTTGCATACATTTCTTCCGTGGTATGGTGGTAGCTTTTAGTTGTCATGGTCTTAGATGATGCCCTCTTTTGGCCAAAGAAAGTATTACATTCATTTATGATCTGTACTTTGCATTAAATTATAAGTCGCAAGCCCAGCAAAGCTACTTACAGGGTACATATAATCCGGAAAATACTTTGGTTATTCTAGTAATTGTCAACAACATTGATGAAGTAAGATTTGACATTTTTGATCTCACATTGTGTATATTTCTATCTGTCTTTAAATGGATGTGCCTATTATCCATCTGTTCGTCAATTCATCAATTGGTCAGAGTCTGTACATCTCTCAGAATGTCCATCCATCTATCTATCATCCGTTAATTCATATACCCATCCATCCAATAATA